GTAAGCGTGCGTGTGTGTAGCGTTGTACAGCAGTACATTTACATTGATATATACAAAGCACTGACAATATGTCCCTGTGCATGCCAACTGAAAATAAATATTGTACATCGTACATATGTCCTGTTTACATGAAGTCGTCATTCCTTATGTTTTGGTTCTCTATAGGCCCCCTGGATGGTGAAGGGACTGGCATCGCATATTGTAATGGTGTGTATTTCATCGCCCTGGAAGATTCTGACGGAAACAGTGTCATTTACCGCTTTGATACCGTTGCTGGAGAAATTCTTGTCAATATTTCATGTGCTGGGCAAGTCAGAGTTTATGATGGGTTAGTATCAAAGTTTTGTCTATATATTGTACGCATATTTTTGTCCATAACGCACAAGTTGCATCACTTATTACTCACAATTAGGTTTTATGTAGTTGGGGACAAGTTCTGTTCTTTTGTCATATGTCAGTTTCTACCAAACTCTACTTACAAGTCAAATGGAGTTCTTTCCACTTGTCCAACTTGTATGCAACCTACCGAATTGGCGTAGAATCTGGTTCAGTGATGAATCACGATTTCTATTGGAACGACGCGATGGAAGAATGCGGGTGTACAGACGTCGACGTGAACGTTTGGCTGACGCTTGCGTTCCCCAGGTGGACAGATTCGGCCGGGTAAGTGTTATGATGTGGGGAGCGATCACCTGCCGTAGGAGAAGTGATTTGGTGATGATCCAGGGCAACCTGAAAGCTCAAAGTACTGTGACGAAATCTTACGCCTACACCTCCTTCCATCCATTGATTGCCAGAGGGAGACAGGACAATGTCAAGTCCCCCCCAGCACGTCACACTAGAGACTTACTCCAGAACCACAACATCAATGTGCTCCCCTGGCCCTCAAGATCACCGGACTTGGGCTGCGATTGGGCAACACGAGATTCTGAGACTTATTCGTTCGATGCCGAGGCGATGCCGTGCAGTTCTGGATGCCCACGGTGGTCACACGAGGTATTGACTTCAGCGCCACCACACGTCCCCATGTGACACTCAAACTGACTTTCCTCGAATTGGTGCCAAAGACGGATAGGTCTGCATTCCCAGTGTGCAATGACGCTATATTTCATTGACTCTAAAAGCCTACAAGATGTTTCAAAATAAACATAAAAATACAGTTGAAATTCCTATATGCGTTTCTGTTTTGGGAGAGTATATGTCCTCTCTATAATTAACATTAAACAGATGGTAGCGACGATTATTTAATCATAATACCTGTCCCTGCTTGTGAAGTTAGTTGATCTTGATCTTGAAAGAGTCTGTTAAACTGTGTGACCAGCAAACACGTGACGTGAATTCATTCTGATCCCACCGAACTGAGTGAGGTGAGTTGAGGTGAGGTGAGGTGAGGTGAGGTGAGGTGAGATGAAATTGGGTTTAACCTCGTGCTTGAGAATATTACGCTCATATGACGACGTGCACGCGTGTGTATGTATATTTGCGACTGCTTGTACTAGCCCAGACTTAAGCTGGTTTTATAGTGCTAGCCCACTGAGATAGCATGCCGCAGTGAAGCAACCGCAAACCAGGAAACGGGCTGCTACGGAGTAGTTTACTGTTGGCGGCTGTACGAGGCGATGACAACTGACATGCATCGTGACGTCGGTTAGGAGGCAGACGAGCAAGGCGTAGTGAAGTCAATACAGTGTGACATCATGCAAATAGTGTACTACAGTACAAAATTCTAACGTAACCTCTTTATGAAACCGGTTTCGGTTTGAAAACATAAAAATAACAAAAATACGCTATTTTGTCAGTTTAATGCATCTAAGACGTGGATAATAAATACAATACCACACTCGGTCTCATCACATACGAATTATACGAAACTCGCTCGGTCAGACACAATAGGAAGGACACTCGTTTCGTATAATTCGTATGTAATGAGACCTCGTGTAGTATTCTCTACATACCCCACTCAGACACATTATACTCTCGAGACGACCAGTCCTTGTTGTACCCATTAATGTTGAGCGCCAGGCAGGTACCAACAAGTACCATATTTTAACGCCTCTTGGTATAACGCGGTCGGGGATCGAAGCCGCGACCTTCCGCTCTCCGGGCGGACGCTCTAACCACTACACCACGGAGGCGGTCCCGAATTGAGCGAGTAAGTTTCTTTTCCGCTTTTAGCAATATTACAGCAAAATCAAGCCAGAAGACACCAACATCTGCTTCAACAACTGAACCCACTAGGAAATCAGACCCAGACCTTCAGTGTGACAGGCAAAGTCAGTAGCACACGTACATGTTAGACAGCATATAGTTTGTCAGGTTATTCATTGTAACCAAGTAATTAAGTGGGGCTGTAGCAAGCTAAGGTGTGTAAACAACTGGTGTTACCGGCAGACATACAGTACACGAAACACATTGCGGGTAGACATTAAAACCAATCCTACTTTACATTCGGCGTAAGATGTCGAGCAAATAACAGTAATTAGTGTTCACTGTAATTAATTACCTTCTCTTTCCATTCAGGCTAGTGTATTTCAGCGATTGCAACGAAATCCTGTGCATCAACAAAACAAGTGGAGATCTGGAGACCAAAGTGAAGTTTCCGATAAACATTAAGTCGTTTGATGTTATTGACGATGGTGTGTACATGAATTATATTCCAAATTTGTTTAACTTGACAATTCTGAAGATGTTTTCAAACTATTTGTCATTTATCGCGTTGATGGCTAAGGTGAACAAAATTAACAGTAAATAATTGGTTAATATCAGGGATTTGTTTATCCATATCACCCATATTGGTAACCTCCCATTACCCCTACATGCCACTACCCCTACAGCTTATAACAACATAGTTTATGGTCTGTTGCATAACTAATCTCCTGCCTGTTACCTATTCCATACAGTGGACTGGTCCACTTAAGATGCACAACATGACACAAGACAGATTTTAAAAGTGACTTTAATACATGTGTTATCACAAAGTACCACATCATTGAGATCAATTGTCAAGTTTTTCAGTCTATTTACATTCAGTGTTTTCATATCATCATATAAGGATGAACAAAAGATCACATTATCACAAGTGTTTCATATCAGGATGAGAGAAAGACCACATTATTACATTATCACAAGTGTTCAAGTGTCAGTGTTACAGTCTATCCAAGCTTGAGCAGGTAGCCGACGGCGTCAAGAAACTGAAGAGGGGATTTCTGTCCACGCTGAAGCTGTTCCTTGAGTCTGCACAGACGGTTGTCGATCTCTCTGTACACTCGTTTTCTGTTTGTTGGCGCAGCACCAAAGTCAATCTGAGCAATCCTCACTCTCTCGGCGTGTTCGACTCTCCTGATGACTTCTACAAATCTGTAGATGTTCGGGTGCCTGTGTGGAATTTCTCGATTCAGACGGTTGTGGAATCCTTCCAGGTTGTTGTTTGTCCTCGGCCCAGCTGTCAAGTTGTGGTTCCACAGGTGAAGAAAAATCTGGCAGTGTCGTCGACCCATGTTGTCACGATGTAGTCGTTGAAGTCGCCAGCTCTTGGGACGTCAGGAGTGTCATCCATGGCTTCAATCCAAGTGTCTTGGACCGCGGCTTGAGGAAGTAGAGGTAGTCCAGCTGCTCTCCTGATCCACTTGGTGACTTCGGGGTTTTCCTTGTAGGCAACAGCTAGTCCAAGATCCTGAACCTTCCTCCAGATGGCTTGACAGAAATGGAAGAAACAGCCCTTCACGTCAGCAGTGGGAAATTCTGTTTCTATGGCGTGGATTGCTGCTAGCTCAAAATCGGTCTGGATGCAGGCAGGATCAAGCGGTCTGTTGAGTCTCTGCTGAACTTCATCCTTGAGCAATCGGAAGAGTCTGGAGTAGGTTGTTGTCTGGCGGTCCGGAAGAAGGGCGAAGATGAGGGGATATGTTGAGCTGCCACGTCTTGCATGGATGATGTATACTTGATTCCACAGTGCAGGACAGGCTGTGAAAGTTCCATCCATGTAGAGGTTGTCAGCTGACTGCAAGGCTTCAAGACTCTCTTGTGTTCCGAACATTCTTAGTGTGAAGATATCCATCCAACAGAACTTGACGGCTACCTCTCCGTGACATAACAAACTCAACATTGCGAAGACCAGCCATGTTGATGCCATGTTTGTTTCATGTCAGCACTTATATACTGTATGGAACAATCTCAATTTCCTGTATCATCTCCACGTTTTATTTCTCTCAACTTCTCAACATTGTAATATATGTAACATTAAAGTGCACTATAACAACTTTTCTTAACAACATTTAGCAATCACAACACTTTTCCAATTGTATGTTTCTTCTACTAAGGGTTGAGGTTTGTTTTCATCATGAGACCACTAATTTCCTTGCCACAAAAGACTAATCACATTTATGCATCCCTTGATCTCATCTATGCTCCATGCACTAATCCCTCTTTAGGATTAGTCTATTATATCAGACAGGTAAATGCTAGGTGTTGTTTTAACTAGCTGTAGGGGTACTGGAGTGTAGGGGTAGTGGCATGTAGGGGTTATGGGTGTGAACCCCCATATTTTAATTCATCACGAACATGTTGCATAATTTATTTACAAAGACGTTATATGTAGTCCATTCTCTGAAATTACCTAATATTTTTTGTGATTCGTATTCTTAAATCATATGTTTGGTACCTTTGAGTAATTGCACACGAAAAAGATGATACTTGAGTAATTAATATCTTACTCAGTTTCTCATAAACTCTTTAAAACGTTTAGCTATAAATACTTACGATCATTCACTTATTATGATAAAGACATTATCTTTTTCAAACTTTTATAAAACAAGACGAAAAAAAGCAAAGATGAAACAATACACCATGTTTAGAAACAAAAAAAGTTGTCATCATGATTTGTTGAGATAACGGTTATTATTATAGATTTACTGTTATTGTCTGTTATTGTTTTTAAGAATTCAGATCTTGATATCTTTTCTTCAAAAGATACCATAGTGTTTTGTGATGTTGCTGGCGGTCTGTGGATATACAACCTCGACACCGAATGTTTCAAACTGCTGGACTGTAATGTCGACGAACCGTGCTGTGACGTCAAGATCAACCGCTGTACGTGGCTCATATACGTGGCCTATCCTGATGATCCGTAAGTTGACAAATCACAATTTACAGTTGATTTTGCCTTAAAACATCAATGTAAACTTTCATGAGTTTAAATGAGAATACTAATGCAAATAAACATAAAATAAAATAAAATAAACATACTAATAAGCCTTCCGTGATTACAATAAAACAAAAAAGTTTGTAAAATCGCAATAAACACATGGAAAACGTACTCGTATGTATGTCGCTTACGGAAACTCCCGACAGTTAATGAGCAGAGGTGGTTTACGCCATATGTGCCGATTGCCGATGGATTCTTCTTTGTTATACCTCACAACTTGACAGTAACCATGGATTCTGAAGCAATATAATATGCACCTGATTCCATTTCTGACATAGATGTTAGACTGCAGAGGTAGAGAAGCTGCGTATCTGTGTACATTACGCAAATATTTATGTGAAAACTCAATTCCTATAAAGTCTTTTGCGTTCAAGTACGCTTGAAATTTTGTAAATACTCAATAAATTTGTCACGCAAAAATGCCATATTGTAGCTTGTCTAACAGTGGATTGGTAAAACCTCTGAGGTATACTGAGAGGTTGTATTTCAGGACATGAACTAAGCAACTTGCAGTCATTATCGTTTTTCATATTACAGATCAAATATGAATAACAAACGCGTAAACCAACATTTATTCTTTATTATATTTTAACAATTAATAGAAAATGGCAAAATACCCAATTGAGTTTGAGTGAGGTGGGTAAAATGTATTAGGTTACTCAAAGGTACAGCTTAAAACCTCTCAGTCAGCGATAAACACTAATTGGAATGTATTAAAGCAACCCAGGCCAAAGAAAATGATTTTAGGACTAGGACCCAATGGTATGATGAAGGGGAAAAGCCTACCAAATATTTTTGCCACCTTGAGAATCGACACTACACCACTAAATTGATCAATGCGTTTATTAGAGAAAATAGAGATGCAATCGTAGATGGTAGTGAAATACTTACTGAACAGAAATGTATTATGAAAATTTATATGAATCATCCGGTGACATAAATATTGAAAATACAAAGTTCCTGAACTCTGTTACCGTTCCTAAACTTGATAAGCTGCTCAATGAAGAACTGGTAAAACAATTTGATCTTAAAGAAATAACCTGTGCAGCTAAATCTATGAAAAACAATAAAAGTCCAGGCTTAGATGGATTTCCTATAGTTTTTTTCAAGTTATTTTGGAAAGAACTAAACACATGGGTATTCAGATATATTAACGCTGTTTATGAAACTAATTTGCTACCCATTACAATGAACAGAGGTGTTATTACATGTATCCCAAAATCTAATATAAATAGGAAATACCTTAAAAACTGGAAACCTATTTCTCTCTTGAACTCGGTGTATAAAATAATCAGTACTTGTTTAACTATCAGAATAAAGAAAACTCTTCCTCATCTTATCCACACGAACCAAACAGGTTTCATACCAGGTAGATGTATCAGTAATAACATTTGGTTGCTATATGATATAATGTTTGAGATTAATAAATGTGGAATGTTACTCCTCATAGACTTTGAAAATGCCTTTGATACTGTCTCTAAAGACTATATTTTTGGTTTTGGAAAAAAATGGTTTTGGATCAAACTTTAGAAAATGGATCTCAATCCTATAAAAAAATGCTAGCTCTTATATTGTACAAAATGGACATATGTCTTCATCTTATATAAATGAACGAGGCTGTAGACAAGGTGACCCAATATCACTCTATTTGTTTTTATTTGTAACAGAAATTCCAGGTAATATGATCCGACAAAATAAAGACATCAAACGTATATTACGGAATGATCGAGAGTATAACCTAGGCCCATATGCCGACGATACTCAACTTTTACTTGATGGCTCCGAGGCTAGTCTGAAGGCAGCTATGGGGACAATGAATATGTTTTATCAAATGTCTGGACTCAAAATGAACATTGAAAAGACTAAAGCTACCGGTATCTGGATTGGCTCTATGGCAGGTAACAGGTTAAGTTATGTGAAAGCCTTGACCTTGATTGGCACTTTGGCAACTTTGAAATCCTTGCATTACACTAAATCTAAATTTGCAAGACCTTTTCGTGATAAATACAAAAAAAGCGAATGAAAACAGTAAATAGAATCTTGGCTTCATGGAAACATAGATCCTTAACTCTAATTCGAAAAGTAACTGTGATTAAGACTTTGGCCCTCTCTACCTTAGTACATATTTTCTCTTCTCTTCCGAATCCCACTCAAACATTTATTAAGGACTTAAACAGAACTTTTTTCAAGTTTATATGGAATGGGAAACCAGATAAGATAAAAAGAACCTGTATGGTTAGGAAATATGAAGAAGGCAGTCTCAGAATGATTGATATCAATGCATTTATTCAAGCATTGAGGTTATTACATTTAAGAAGATATATTCAAAGCCCTAATATCAAGAATCCAAGTTACTTTCCTACAGATGAAATATTCACACTAGGTGCCAATGTTGATACTCATATTCACTGTAAGAACCCTTATTGGCAGAATGTTTTGAAGGCTTGGGCAAACTATGTAAGAATAGAAAAAGAAATTTCTCCTAATATTAACGATATTTTGTCCCAACCCTTATGGCTCAATCGTCGTTTTAAATATAAAACCTTTTTGATAAAACAATGGTATAGTAAAGGAATTTATTTTGCAAAAGACATATGTAGCAATAGTGGTCTAATGACTTTTGCTGAACTGAAGAATGTTTTTGATATTAGCGGCATGTTTTTAGATTATCATAAATTACAATGCTGCATTCCTCCTTGTTGGAAAAATTGCATCAATGACCAAACATGTATCAATAATTCAAATGTGCTGATTAGTAATAATCTAACAGACATTCTTAAACCTGGTAAGGGTTCTAGATTTTTCTACGATACTATTATTGCTTGTGACGAGTTTCCACCTGTGTGTAACAAATGGGTTGAAAACTTCAATGTGGTTTTTCCTCCCTGGAAAGATATATTTCTTCATTACAGTTATTGCACCAAGGATGTAAAACTACTAGAATTCCAATTTAGATTCTTACGTCGCCTAATCTACACCAAAAAGAAACTAAAACAGATGAAAGTAGTGAACGAGGATATTTGGTCGTTCTGTAAAACTAATAGTGAAAGCTTATCACATGTTTTCCTCGAATGCGAGCACGTCAAAAAATTCTGGTTGAGTGTGGAATTATACTTGAACTCTTTTCTCAATGAAGAAATAAAAGTGGACGCTTGTGCTATTCATTTTGGTTTCCCAGCCAAATTTAAGTTAATTAACCACTTTCTCTTGTTATGTAAAAGACATGTATTCTTAAGTAGTCTTAAAAGTACAACCCTTTCAGTTGAAACAGTAATAAACATTTTCAAACAGATATCCTTCATTCAAAAATTCATTGCACGTAAGAATAATAAATGGGCTGAGTTTGAAAAAAATGGCTTCCTCTGTCAGACATTTATGAAGAAGTCACCTGATGTTTTATTATTATTAATTATATTTTTTAAAATCTCACTTACATTCAATGATGTCCGTGTCATTTGCTTTGAACATATTTGCCATAACCCTGTAACAGCATACATACACTTAGACAGTGATGTGTTAGCCAATCGCAACTTAACCCTTTTTGTAAGGCCTACTTTTAACACCAATTTGTGTGTGAACATAATCATTGATTGTTTGAACTCAGAACTGTTGCTCAATCGCTACTCATTTGTATCCATTGTCAATGATTTCACCCCTGCTAGTAACCTGATTTGCTGGAATAAATAAAAGTAAAGAAGAAAAAAGGTTACTCAAAGGAAAAATAAGGATATCCAATTGAGATGAACACAAGCGAGTTCACAACTCAAGGACCCAAAATGTTATCTGTAGCTCCAACCCAGAACGAACATTACAGCGAAACATTTTCAAGATCATGTGAAATCTCTTAGTGAATTTGATGATATATATTTTATCACAATCGGACTTGATTTAATGAATGTTGAAAACATCACTGACCATAAGTAACACGGAATAATGTAGTACGAATGAAGCGCGAAGGTGCTTCTTCCTTCTTCAGCATAGCTTTTGCATTAAACTATTGGGGTACATGATTGTTTTTGATGACTTAACGCAGACACTTATTGCAATTTTCTAGTATTCTCCTTTAACAACACGTACTCAAGTATTGTAGATTGTATGGCACTTAGATCAGGATCTTACATTTATAAGACAAGAGTAAGAACATATTCTCTCTACTTACGTCTTTGAGCACTTCATTATCGACTTACCTTTCCCTCACTTCACATTGTTAATTAGAGCTACATATACTGCCCTGAACCTTCCAGAGAGTCTTCACCTCTGAAGTGATAACCATGACAACATCACCCTTCTCTTCTTCAGGGTTCTTGACATTTTCAACCACACTACCTGTGAAAAGGAAGGAAACTTGACCTACACTACGTCCACCCCAAAGGAATGTCCGAGGCTGGAGTTCAAGCCACCCTGGTATGTGAAATTAACTTAAAAGGTGTTGTGCATCATCTACTGTACGCACATTACATTGAAGTATTCTTGTAAACATGCGCATTATGAAGAGCAATGGTATAGTCTAAGACAGCTTTGCTTTTCGAAAAGACGAGAAGGCATTTCGCTTGTTTGGTGATTATTGTTGCATCCATCAATATCGCAACTGACGGCGGAGTGTAAACAGAGTCAATGTACACAAATCGGATTTGAAGACAAGTATCCACCAAGTCAGCAAGCCTGACCACTCTTTTTAGTCACCTCTCACAAGCACTGGTTGCCGGGAACTAATTCTAACGGGATCTCATAGGGGCGGTGAGAAGCTATCAACACTTAAATGGAATATAGATTGTACCATGCCATGGCGCTGTTGACGTTATACCTACATCCGAGGGTATTTAATCAGTTGCGTTTTTCCTTCACTGCAGTCCCTAAGGAGAGCCAGGCACAAACCACGGACCATCTCCGCCACCAGGTGAGATCATAATAGTTGTTATGTCCGGTTAGCGTTAATAAGACCGAGTGAGCTAGATAAAAAACGTTATTGCAGTCGTAATCCAACTAATCCGTAATCCAAGACTGCTCTTGTAACTTCTGTTTTATCTGCTCGTTGATACTCTGGAGATAATAGTTCGGTCATATGTATGATTGTTTGTTGTTTAACTCCGCACTCAGCAATATTCCAGCTAGAAGGCGACTGTCTGTAAATAATCGAGTCTGAACCAGACAATCCGGTGATCAACAGCACGAGCATTGATCTACGCAGTTGGGATGCGATGACATATGTCAACCAAATCAGTGAGCCTGATCACCCGATCACGTTAAGAACAGCATGGGTTGCTGACTGCCAATTTTATATGTACGATTTTAATATGCTTATGTCTAAATCATATACTTTTTTCATGGAAACAGGACCTGGACTTTAAAAGAAGACAAGCAAGATTCGTAGAACGCATTGTTCTGTAATCTGTAATCAATAAAATGTTCTGAACATGATTAATGTTTCTTATTTCATACCAGTGAATCGATGACACTGGAGGCCTTCACGGTCAATTAACGAACTTCGAGTAAACAATATAATGATGTGAATGCATTTGTTACTGGATAATTGCCCAGATGTCCAATCGTCTTGGAAATTAAGAAAGTAATTCTATCTTTCTAGCATCCATTATAATAGATGGAATATTTCGTCGTCAACCAACAAACACTTGTCAATGTTCACAGAGCTGCGGTTGAGCTGTTGGCTTATTTCCATAATTATAATCTGCAAAAGTATCATTGTTTAATGATAATATAAGAAGAGGTATAATACAGGCTTTTCAAGGCCAAACTGCTTAGCCATAATGCTTGGAAAAGTACATCTCGGGGAAACAGTAAGCTATTTGATCATCCAAAGTCGCGCAAGATGGAAAAAAACACCTAACGCAGAAAAAGCATAGTTTCTAATTTATATCGCAAAATGGAAGGGGTAAAAACTGTAAATGTTTCATAGAAACTGTCGCAAAATGGTACAAAGGTGGATTGAAAATATTTGTACAGGATGTGTGTATTTGATATTATGTCGTAGAGCATTGGCAAACGAAAGTGAAGCGAGGCACGTGGGTAACTTAGGCCAGAAGAAACCACGGGAGCAAAACGAAATGTCGGCGCGGATGACAACGAAAGGTCGGAGGTCGTGACTTGAACGGTGGAAGGTCATGTGCCTTGTAAGTAGTTCCGATAAGAAAATGTTCTTCTTTAAAATGGGGTTTGTTCTTCATCGGGGAAGCCCCTGACTAAACTAAATGGTACAAGCCATCACGGGTCGAACGAACAGGCAGGCATGTTTCCATGGGACCTTAAGGCCTCGAACAGTGGATTTAGAGATTGGTGCGTTTTGTTTCAAAACCACCCTTTCTGTTAATAGACATTCGCTTATACAGGGCTGTGAAAAATAAACAAAACAAACACTACTGTTGGCCACGAATATGACGGGAAGGTACGGTACTTCTCGAGACCCTACTTCCGGTGACAAACAACGTTTCATACCTTTTCGAATAGGCTAATGGTTGTCAGTTGACAGTAAGGAACCGATAATCCTTGCAGGAATAAAAAAAATCCGATCTAACCATCCCCAAATCATGCAAATATTACGACTGTCAACAGATGTGACAGCTACGCATGGTTGTACACTTGGTTCGGTCTAGTGAAGTCATATATGGCGGTCGCGCAATTTGGAACCAGACCTGGTTCTTGAATATACGCTTGTCACCGGAAATCTGGTAACGGGAGTAAGCTGGGCCCCGTCTTGCATATCGCAAGTTGGCGCGCACAAAGGGAGCCGGGAACCAGCTTAATACCGGAAGAAGCGCCTCTCGAGACTTACAGGCCATATTGTAAATGCTCAAAACATGCCTGAACCAAACACACACTCACTACAGATGGAGTTGAAATCAGAAACAACATTACTATTGACTGAAGGTTAATATTTTGTTTATTTGAAATATTGTATATCACATTTATATATGTTTACCATTTCTCAGCGCAGATGGGAATGAAAGGATAATCGTTAGATAATACTTTTGAAGTCTTCGACTACTTCCAGATTGACATTTTAAAAGACCATTATGTCCACTCAATACGTAAATCTTGAAACCGTAATATTTGTGTACAGGATTTGTAAATAAACAAATACCTCGCCAGCAATAGGTATTGATACGTAAAGCAGTATTTCTTCCTTCATACTCGATGTGCATTTTGAGGGTTTGTAGCATGTCTTCACATGTCCTTCAACAATCATTTAAGAAGAACCTGCATAGTTTGACAATATCCCTTACTGGACTATCTGATCTGATTCATTAAAAGACAAGGTCCCACTCATGTAGCTGCATTTACTACTGGTTTAATATCCTAAGTCCTGCTACTGTACCGACAAATCCCAGCTTCAAACACCTTCACCATCCAATGAAGTTTCATTTTGTGGAAGTATCATAAATTAACCTAAAGGCAATTAACAATTGACCTTAATTTTAATACTTCATACAATCGGTTACACGATGAGTGAAACATTTTGTATTTTTTAATTGCTTTAAATATGAACATTGTCGTCTTCTTATGATCTCAATATCCACCTGTGAAAGTTTACATGGAAATTTCCTATTGTTGTTAGATTTTCAAACTTAGAAACAACAACACTGAAACAACCAAGTCAATGTTTACATTTGGATAAATTAGGATCTTAAAACATAACTTCAACATATCTCAAACCTGATCAAGTAAATTATAAATGCCCAAATCTCTGTAAGTTATTATTTTACTACCGCTTCGAACAATATTTAATATAGCGCATACCATTTTGAAGTGATACACATGAATAATTTATGGATGTCAACTTCTTTATTTTGAAGGACACGGGGTTTCGGGATATATATATGATCATGAATCACACAGCTATATATGTACATGTGAAACAACAACTGTGATAAGTATTTAATATATGGTTTGTTGGTTGGTTTTATAGTTTAGGGCGACGTAGGCAAATAACAGGCCTATTTGCGCCCAACACATTAATTTATCATAAACCACAGGTTATTACATCGCCAAAAGCAATCGTTTAGATAACATGAGGGAGACGTCAGCACTAAAAAACATTCATTTGGATACACATATACATATAAAGAATAACCTCTGCTTCGTGTTACAGGTTAAAACCTTAAGTAATCACTTCAATTTCTAAATCATGACATATTCATTCATAAAACAATCCCAGTAGGTTAAGATACAGAGCATTAAAATGAACTAAGTCTGTCCAAGCCGTTTGAGTGCCTGCCTAAATTACATCATATTTTCCAGGTGATAAGACAAAATCTAAAACTGCTCGTTGCACAGACCCAAGAAATTGTCGATTTATGTTTAAGTACAAAGGAGATACTAATATCAGTTCTTATGTTTTACACAGATGTGTACTGTTGATACATTAACAGTATGAACGACTATTTCTGTGCGCCGGAGAGTTGTTGCTTGTCTTGAAGCAGGGTGTGTTTAATCACATTATTTATGTGGCGTTTCATTGAACTTGAACGGATTTATATATGTGTGCCAATTGTCCATTGCACTGAGAGCCTTTCTCTGTCCCTCCTCAATTCGGACATTTTACATCGTGCAATTATTGGGTAGGACTGAATATATAAAGCTATACAGTCTGTCGACCTAACTTCAGGGACTGCATATTTTGCAAATATTGTTTTTGTTATTCGTTTCAGTGTAAAGGTGTTTACATGTACCTTCATGTTTCTCCGTGACCTCGGGAACCTATCATTAATATCACGGTGATCGCCTATTAAAATGGTTACCTATATAACTATACACATGGAACTTGATAAGGCACCCCCCGATTGTTTTCATTTTGCCATGAAACTGAGCAACCATTACTATTTTATACTCAAGATCAAGATGGTTTATTGTACATAAGGCATCTCGCCCGTATACATAGTATTGTAATGACAGGCAAGGTATGGACATTGCAAACAGTGGAAAGCATCCTAACATTGTTAGATTAGTTGACAGGAGAAATTAGACTCTTCCTTAAAGACAGCGAATGTGTTAAAAACATGGCTAATTTTACATGGACAGATTCGTCTTTTGATGATAAAATTCTTATAAGTGTTTCCCTTGTAGGGTGACCCAGATATTTTTGTGGAATGTACTCCTTTCTTAAATCGGCATAAGCGTCACATATAAATAACAGATGATATTCGTCTTCGATATCCGCCATACAGACAGGGCAAAATCTGAAAACCTTATACGCCAACATGCGTTACCAGCATCATCTTAGGTACAGTGATTTTGGATCGTAGTGTTGACCTTGTGCCATCATTTAGTTTCATTTCAAAATGGCGTCGATAGCAGATAATACAGGCAGGAAAGCACAAGACGTGGATTTGAATTTTGAGAAATTACATGTTCGTGAACTGAAGATTCCTAATCACGGAGAATACGTTTCAGGGAATAAGTCGGACTTAAGGTGTAAGCGATCTTGGCAAACAATCGATTGATGATCGGAATACATCCGACGTGGGCAGTGTGAGTAGATCTAATACATTAACAATAAACATGATTACTAAAAGATCTAAAGTGTGATTTCCATTTACTGAAAGCAAACTTAAGTATAATAATCATGATAATTGTTCTGCACTTGATCAAACTTTAAAATGGATAACCAAACAAGGTTTTAAGTGTCGTTGTCTGCACGGGACACACAAATATGTACCCCAGAAATGCTGCTGTAAAATATAACTGTCGCATTTATTGGCCCATGGTGTGCTTCAATAGTTTGGCCACGAGGCATTGGTAAGGAATGCATGAACCGGACTAGTAACATAATCATCACTAATAGATGCTAATATTCCACTGTTTGGGACACATAAGACTATAAATATATTTTATGAATAACAAATCAAACATATTGACACAAAGTTCAATAATATATATTCTGAACATCAATGATTTTGCCTAACTTAGACAGCTGATGGTTGAGTTTTCGGGAGAAACATTGCGTTTGGATATGAAAATGCAAAGTACACAGCTCAACATTGCAAGTGAATCAATAATCTTGCCACCATGTGGAGGCTGAAGGTTTGTCCAGTGAATGCACACTTTCCAAATATTTGTGACATTCGAAAGTAATTTATAGTCCTGTAAAATTTGTGGAAAAAATCACTGAACCTCCAAAAAATTGGTACAGAAATGGTTTTGTGTTTATATCGTTTACAGTAGTTATGTAAACAATTTATAAAGTCCTACCTTGGATGATGATGCTAAGTGGACTTTTTGGGGGAAAAACTATAAAAAATGGTATTTTTCAATTATTTTTTTTATTCTGAAAATAAGTCCAGAAAATGGTAAAATCTTGCAAAACATACAACTGAAGTGTAGAAAATAGTAAATAATGAAAATTAAAACCTATAAAAAA